TCAGTGTCTACAAACACTGCCCTCATGTTGTGGATCCAAGGCCTCCCGAATAGGGCATTATACATCATATCGCCCTCGATCACATGGAATTTCATCTCTTGGATGGTCCTAGCCTCGTTCACTGGCGAAGTTATTTCGTCTATGGTGGTTTTACACGCCATGTTGAAGCCGTTTAACACTCGAGCTGCGGGCACTACCTGATCCTGCAGGCCGAGCTGTTCTACGACCCTCGATCGAATAATGTTGGCCGAGCTACCTGGATCAATTAAAACACGTTTAACTCGAGTCTTATTCATAAGTATAGATATTACTAGTGCGTCGTTATGGGGTTGCACGATCCCTTCTGCATCCTCGTCATTGAAAGACAAGGTTCCTTTTGGGACGTAATCCCGAGTTCGCTTCTCCCTTGTGATCGACACCTTGGTGCTCTTTAATACTGGTCCTTGAGGAATATTGACCCCTCCAACAATCATGTGAATCACGTGTAGTGGCTCTTCTTGCTCGTTCTGTCGGTTTGAATCTCTATTTTTGAAGTGATTCTTGGCCCAATCGCTTAAGAATTCTCAAAGGTGCCCTTCGTTGAACAACCAGGCTACTTCCTCCCTTAGCTGTCTACAATCTTCTGTTCTATGGCCATGGGTGCAATGATACTTGCACATCTGGTTGAGATTTCCCTGGGCTGGATCGGTCTGCAGAGGTCGAGGCCATCTAGTATCTTTGATACGTCTGATGGCTGATACGATGGCAGATGCATCAACATTGAAGTTATACTTTGATAGTCGCGGTACTTCTTTGGGCCCGACATCCCTATCGAAACCATTCTTGCTCATGAGCCCCCGAGAGCTCTGACCTCGATCGTTTCTCCTTTCACTTCGAATAGGGTCTGTTGCCTCTTCGGTCTCCATTGTATGGCTGGTAGCGATCCCTGCTCGAGTGTGGCTCCTTCAATGTCCCTTTTGACTCTGTCAGCGAGCCTGATAGGATGAACGGACCTGGAAGGAGTCGCCAGCTGATCGTCTTAGACCCTAATTTTTGATTGGTACCGATTATACACGTCGTCCCATGTAACAGCTGGATATTCGATCAAGCTCTGCTTTAGCTGTTGTGGAGCCACCGAGCTTCGTACGTTTAGTCTTTGGGTAAAGACCTGAACGTCCCAATCATCGGCGACCGATGGTAGATCCATACGTTCCATTTGAAACCGAGACACAAACTCTCTGAGCATCTCGTTATCTTTCTGCCTTACCTTGAAGAGGTCTGACTTCCTAGTCTCGACCTTTATAGCTCCGGCGTGTGGTTTAACGAAGGAATCTGCAAGCATAGCAAAAGAATCAATGGAATTGGGTGGCAAGTTATGGTACCATATCATCGCTCCCTTCGACAGGGTCTCCCCGAATTTCTTCAACAATACGGACTCGATCTTACCGTCCTCCAGATCATTCCACTTAATCGCATATGTGTAAAAAGTGACATGGTCGTTGGGGTCGGTCGTTCCATTATGCTTGGGAATTTCTGGCATGCAGAATTTCTTGGGAATTGGTTTAGGAGCCGTGCTCGGGGGGAAAGGATTTTGCACGAACTTCTTTGAATCCAAACCTTTCAAAATCGGTGGTGCCCCCAAAATTTGATCAACCCTGGAATTATAGGTTTCCACCTTTTTGTCATTTGCTTCAATTTTCTTCTCCCTTGATTCAACTCGCTTTGTTAGTTCCTCGAGCATCTTCATGATTGCGGAATCGGTCCCCGATTCTCCTCCGTTTGATCTCTTTGGCACCGATTCGGCCCTGCGAACAACTTCTCGGGATGGCTTGGGCTCGATCCTGCTTGGTGCATGGTTTTGGTTTTGGAATTGTGCTATTGCAACTTGTTGAGCCTGCAACATTTCAAATATCACTCGAAGGCTGATCCCGCCTTCCTCATCGCCTTGTGCGTTCTGACCGGCTGATTGAACGTCTCTGCGGACACTACTCTCAAGATCGATGGCCAAATTTGCATTAATGGCAACATGGGAACTGACATCAATTGGGTCTACGGCCGGGACTCCATCGAAGTCAACTGGAGGTACTTCGTTCCCTGGGGTGGCTATGCTGTTGTTTTTGCCATAGAGACCAAGTTCATTGTCTGTGTGTGTCGGTGCTGCTTGAGAGTTTGACATGTTGATCCTGGAATCAAAGATACTCACAAGAACAAGCATAAAACAGTGTGTGTTACGAAAAGATAGTACCAGACAATCACTATTATCCTTAGCCCACGGTGGGCGCCAAACTGTTTACCCTAAAAACGAATAACAATTGAATTTATACGTGGTTTTAAGGACACGTAATTTTACTTGGCACAAACAGAGAAAATATGTAAATCGATATTGAAATTGACTGCAACAGAAATAAAAGCAAATTGAAATAAACGTATAGCTTTGGCCCTCGAGCTAGGTCGCCCACGAACCAAGCGAATATGCTACTGGAAAATATGAACAGAGCAACATAATACTGAAAGCTCAAGAGAAAGGTAGTATACTGCTTTGTATTGCGTGAATATGATGCTTTTTACAGATGATCGGATCCCCTTTATATAGTAGGGGAGTCCTACCACAGTTACAATTCTAAATACAATAAGAAACCCCATGATTAACTAATTAATCGGCCTCTTCTTGATACGTGCCGAGATTTTCGCGTGATCCTCGTCCGATCACGTATATTTTGGCTTTCTGTTATTCGGCTCGGAAAGCTTCCCTCGATCTTGCTCGATCTCTATCCTGCTTGGCCTCGATCTTGGCCGATCTCGGTCTCGATCGATCTCTGGTGCACGAGATCAGCAATCTGTATATCAAAGTCCGATATAACATGGGGTCGAACCTTAGCCTGCCACGTTCCAGTCTCGATCAGTTATATGAAAAATGGCAAGCCCGATTTTGACCGTACACAATAAGTTTTGTCAATGTAAGTAACTTTACAAATACTCCCTCCGGTCCAAAATAAGTAATTTTTTTGGCCTTTTTCTTGTGGTCCAAAATAAGTAATTTTTCCAGATTTCAAGAATGAATTAATTATTTTTTTCCTACATTGTCCTTGGAGTAAATAGTGTTGGAATATGTGTTAGGAGTGTTTATGTGAGATAGTAAAGGTTAATATGGTCAATTCTATTGCTAATTAATGCTAAAAGGTGGATTTCTTAATCTGTGTGAAAACATCCAAAAAATTACTTATTTTGGACCGGAGGGAGTAATTTTTATGTCGCATAACTTATAAATTAGATAAATTTTTACGATCTCGCAAGACAAAGCCCAAGTATTTCTTAAAGGGATTTTTTCCTTCCTATACCATATATGAAAGTTTATTACCAAAAATGTGCATATTTTGTATATTACCTGCCCAGTCCACATTTTACCTACAAAATTTGTACCATTCGAAAATCAGGCATTAATGGATCAGAATATTCCTTAAAAACGCGCTAAAATTAACGAGAGATTTTTGGTGATAATTGATTCTACATTAAATTCAATCTTTAAAAAGGGAAAGGAGATTTCATATATGCGATTTTTTCTCTAGAACTATAATTCAAATTCTGAAAAAAAAACGAACAAATATTTAACTACTAACAACTACAAAAACTACGAAAATATTCAACTACTAACAGCTTCTAAGATTTACCAATTAAGTGGACATAAAGTGGAGAGTTCAAAGACAGATCATTGACAATAACTTAAAGAAGGGAGAAAAAAACAAAAATGAGAAGAAAAAAATAACAGCAATAGGTCTTCTTAGTTTTATGATATTATCTACAAATTTACTACATATATCTACAATTTGACTATAATTTCTTTATTTGGTGCAGGAAAAAAATATTTTAATATTCAGTGTCTCCGGATTGTAGATAAATTGTAGGCAAATTGTAGTTTACTTATAGTTTGTAGTTAATTTGTAGATAAATTGTAGATAAAATGTAGATATATTGTAGATACTATATTTTTAATATTGTAAATTTTTTTTCTTTGTGTTTGTTCTGAAAATGTAGGTGAGGGCTTCAACAGATCATATACATACTGTGTTGGATGGTGTGAAGCGGTACATTGTGTGTCTAGAAAACAAGAAATGTAGCTGTGGCCAATTCCAACTTGAAGAACTTTCATGTGCAAATTGTTTCCAGATTATAGTTATAATGTAGGTTAAATGTAGTTAATTTGTAGTTTTTGTAAAATTTTGCAGACAATTTGCAGATTAATTGTGGATGTCACATTTCTACAATTTGCTCTTCATCTACAAAATTTCTATAAAAAACTACAAATATTTACCTAGTTTTTTGGGTGATTATATTTTTTTCAAAGTTGAAGTGTTTGGCCAAGGTTTTAGAAGAAAAAAAAATATTTTTGAGGAGAAGCATAAGCAATTTTGGAACAGAAAAAATAGCTTTCCGAAAAATAATTAGAAATAGTTTTTAAAAGCCTGCCCAAATACTAATTGATGGTCAAAATGCTTTTCAAATTAATTAATTAAAAAATAATTATTTTTCACCTAAAGTATTTTTAATAAAATACTTTAAAAAAACTGATTTAGATCGACATGAGAAAGTAATTAAAAATCAATAACAAAATAAGCCAAATGAAAGTGCAAAACAGAAAAGAAGAAGAAAATAGATCAACGAAATCTGAGTCTTTGACTTTCTTCAATCCCGTTTCATTCTCTCCTCTGTTTGTCATCTCAAAGATTCAACTCAACTTTTTCCCTAAAACAAAGAACGTGAAGGGCTATGGGGATGAGGGGTTAGGAGAGAGAAAGTGATGATTAGTACTTAGTACTGTAAAATAACGGAAGTGCTTAATTTAAGGAGTATAAAATATCACATTAATTATAACTTTAATTAGATATGGTATATAAATGGTAATTTGGTATGCTAAATGTAATTAAGCGAAACCTTAAACATGTAGGGTAAAAAAGTTTCATAAGTGGGATAGAAATATAAAAATTCCTTTCTTAAAAGAGAAACAAAATTAAACAACGGCGCAAAAACATTTCTATTTGTGCGAAGCTCCCGAACTCTTTGCTTTGTGAATGTCCACGAATTCAATGGTCCATGGATTCGACAGTCGCGGGTCGGGCGGCCCCGTCTTGTTCTCCGGCGAAATTCACCCGTAAGTGCCATCTGTGTCTCTTCCGTTTCCCCTCTTCTTAGATTTCCCGACACAAAAACCCTAATCCCTTTTTCCAGTGAAATATTTTAAATCGTAAACTAAGGAATTTTGAATCCGGATGCAGGCTTCTTTCTGTCCAATGCTTATGAAGACTAAAATTCCTATTTTTAGACTAAATATCCTGTCTTTAGTTATTTTTTATCATTATAAGAATGTTATGTGCTTTCCACGTGACTATGTTCAGATTTTCTGAGTTTAAAACTGAATTGTATGTTATATTCTACAAGGTAGACTATATAATGTACGAAAATCTTAGCTGGAAGCAAATTTCTGAGTGAAGCTAGGTGCAAGTTGTGCTATATAAGCAATGGAATCAACTGTTGCTACGGAGAATAATAACCTGGAGCCTCGAGATGATATGGAATTTGATTCACATGATGCAGCCTATGAGTTCTATAAAGAATATGCAAAATCAGCGGGTTTTGGCACCGCCAAATTGAGTAGTCGTCGTTCTAGGGCATCCAAAGAGTTTATTGATGCAAAGTTTTCATGCATAAGATATGGAAACAAACAGCAGTCTGATGATGCAATCAACCCTAGGCCTTCTCCTAAGATAGGTTGTAAAGCTAGTATGCACGTGAAGAGAAGGTCGTCGAATGGGAAGTGGTATATTCATAGTTTCGTAAAAGAACATAACCATGAGCTTTTACCAGCTCAAGTGCACTTTTTCAGAAGCCACAGGAATGCTGATCCACTTAAGAATGACGCAAAAGTTCGAAGGAAAAAGATGTTGGCTTCTGTATCAAAACAGTACGGTGCATACCAATTCTCTGGTAATCTGGAAAATCTTTTCAGGAATCAACATGACAGAGGTCGAAGTTTGACTTTAGAAGAAGGAGGTGCGCAGGTCTTGCTTGAATTTCTTGTGCAAATGCAGGAAGAGAATCCAAAATTTTTCTATTCCGTGGACTTAAATGAGGAGCATCGATTGAGGAATGTTTTCTGGGTTGACGCCAAAGGCATGGATAATTATTCCAATTTTGGTGACGTGGTGTCATTTGATACTACATACTTCACAAACAAATACAAAATACCTTTGGTTCTCTTCATTGGAGCAAACCATCACATTCAACCCACCTTACTAGGTTGTGCACTAATTGCTGATGAGACAGTGCATACGTTCATATGGTTGATGCGGACATGGTGTCTGGCAATGGGTGGACGAGGTCCAAGAATTTTGTTGTCTGATCAAAACGACAACATCAAAGCAGCTGTTGGAGCAATCTTTCCGGACACCGGGCACTACTTTAGTCTGTGGAGTATATTGGAGAAGATCCCAAGGCATCTTGAATATCTCAGTCTGTGGCATGATACATTTATGGCAAAATTTACTAAGTGCATATATAGATCATGGACTGAAGAACAATTTGAACACAGATGGTGGAAGTTGATTGAAAAGTTCAATCTTAGAGAGTACGAGTGGGTTCAATCATTATATGAAAATCGCAAGCTTTGGGTGCCTGCTTTTATGAGGGATGTATCTTTTGCCAGTTTATCCACGGCTTCAAGATCCGAAAGCATGAACTCTTTCTTTGACAAATATATCCAGAGTGAAACGTCTCTTAGAGACTTTATTGGACAACATAAGCTAATCCTTGAAGACTGGTATGAAGAGGAAGCCAAAGCTAATTTTGATGCATGGCATGAGATGCCTGAGCTTAAGTCTCCCTCGCCCTTCGAAAAACAGATGTTGCTCATATATACTCATGAAATATTCAAGAAGTTCCAAGTTGAAGTATTAGGAGCCGCTGCATGCCATCTAAAAAAAGAATCAGAAGACGGCACATCTATAACATATGCTGTCAAAGATTTTGATGCAAATCAGGACTTCATGGTGGAGTGGGATGCGCCGAGGTCGGACATATACTGCTCATGCCATTCATTTGAGTACAAAGGTTACCTTTGTAGACATGCTATTGTGGTTCTTCAAATGTCTGGTGTCTTCAATATTCCGTCTAAGTATATATTGCAACGCTGGACCAATGCTGCCATGAGCAGGCATTCCATAAGTGAAAGACTGGAAGATGTGCAAGCTAAAGTCCGTCGCTACAATGATTTGTGCCGACGGGCAATAATATTGGGTGAAGAGGGATCACTGACTCAGGAAAGTTACAGCATCGCTGTTGGTGCCATTAAAGAAGCCTTAAAACAGTGTGCAACTGTTAATGTCACTTTTGAGGCTAATCTTAGATCAGGCAGTTGTGCTAACCTTGCTATCCAAGGTGTTAATGAAGTATGTCAAGGAAATAGTCTTGCAGCTAGAGAGCTAATGCCTTACAGTAGAGCGGCCCAGACAAGCAAGGGTTCTAAAAGAGCAGATCCTGGAAAAGAAAGGGAAAACAATGACAACACTTATAATAAAAAAGGAAAGGTTAGAAATTTTTATCTTACACGTCCTTTTCTTTATTTATTCTTCTCAACCACATGCTCACCCTGAGATGAGCTTCTCTTACAAGTGTTCTCCATTCATATCAGGTGACTTTGGAGCCAGAAATTCCTAACGGTGCACAAGGTGTCTTTCACCAAATGGTTTGTTATGCTAGCACCTTCTCTAATTTAATGAATAATCCTGCTTTTAAGTGAGTTCATATTGTGAACCTTCTGGGACAATTAGAAATTGGTGATGCAACCATAATTGTTTATTCGTTTCTGTAATCCGTCATTTTGGTTTTTTATTCACATCTTACACAAAAAATTGGTGACAGGAATTCTTTTACCAAAATTTCCTGACAGGAGCTCCTGGAAAAGTTTATTTTGAACATATATTTGATGCACCTAATAGTTGACAAGCTAGAAGGTACAACTAGAGGTTCTGTTTTAGGATGATAATGCCAAATTGATATTAATGTTGTCGTCTTGGCAGACATGATTTTTCTATCTTTGTGTGTACGTGTGGGGTACAGGTATCTGCTGGACAATGACTAAAATTTAACTAGAGGCTGTTGTAATCCACTGCAAAAAAAAGGTCTAGAATTAAATGGTAAGGGTGGAAGTTGGGAGATGAAGGTTATCTTATGCAGCAGACTGTTGACTAATTTGAACTTTAGATTTATGTTTTCAGAAAAAGCATGCATTTCTTTTCCAGGGTCCAATTGTCTTGTTGATTTGCAATCAAACATTTGTTGCCTGAATTCCTTTTCTGCTCATCATAGTGGCTGGAACTGCCCAGTGTTTGGTCAAGGCAGTTGGATAATAAGGTGCTGGCTCACTTGTTTCGTATTGCACCAACAGTGTCCCGTAACATGACATGAATGTAGTTCATAATGTGCATGACATTTGGTGGTTGTACTTGTAGAAACAGTTAGACTTCCTGCATAAAGTTTGTACCAGTAGGTGTACTTTTAGTCCTGGAAATAAGCAGGCTAAGTTTTGTTTTTTCTTCTTATTTTCACTTATGACCTACAGTCTCATTATGCTTTTTGCACGACATACATTGATATTTGAGTTTTTATTTATGTAGGATATGCCTGGTAGCCTGGATTATCCAACCTTGTACCCCAGATTAACAACACTGTTAAGAGGTGGTGACATTAACAAAAGAAGTGTGGAATTGCTCGGAGAGATGTTGGAGTAACAAAAATTTAGGGTCATATATCATGGATTGGTGGAGGAACAATTGGTGTTTTTTAATTGGGGTGTTCTCAAAGTGGAAAAGGTATTATATTGTTAAGAAAGATCTCACACTGTTTTCAGCTCCTAGACCATTTTAATAACCTGCTGCTGACTTCATCACTAATCATAAGATGCAGGATCGGAAGATTGAAGAAATGAGATGCTTAATGCATGTACGGGCATCTGCAATTACACAATTAAATATGTCAAATGTGAAAGTAACTAGCTCTAATAATCTCCAAGCCCCGAGATTCCCTGTTTTTTGGTGTTGCAGTGTGAAAGGCTCTGCAACTATGTGAAAATGGTAAGGAGGAAAGTGGTTGGGGGTGGGGGTGGGGGTGGGTTGTTATAATGTTAATGTTGCTTTGGAATTAGAATCTTCAGTCTTGTTGAGCTTATCAACTCATACTAGACCCAAGTTTGGCAAGGAAGGTCGGCTCGAGGTGTGTTTTTCTTCTTCAAGAAAACTGACCCACAGCTTCTTTGTCAGTAGTTTCAGATACATACTCCATGGACCGCTAGGCGATGTGTTTTGTGGGTTTAGCTTCCCCTCCCGTCCTATTGTCTATGTATAGTGAGGTCACTTAGTTGATTCCAACTAGTTTGGGATCGAGGCATAGATGGTGTTGTTCTTATTGGTTTGTTACAGTTTATGGCCAGGTGAAGGTTTCGACGAGGGAAGAATTCAAGTTAATATACATTGATAGTGTAAATTGGAAAGATTTCTTACTCTTATTGGCGGATTTTAACTTGTGATAGATACCATGTTAGGGGTAAAGGTTTGCGTACACGTTAACCTCCCCAAACTCCACCTGTGGGATTACATTTGGTTTGTTGTTGTTGTTGATAGATACAATGTTAATTTTCTTACCAGGTCACAATTAACCTGGTTGTATAAATATTGTTTATGTCGTTATTGTATGGAACTTAAACTCTTCTAAGAAAAAGAATGTTTAAAGCCAATTTGTAACATTACTCCTACTGACTAACTGAGAATGGAAGCCAAAAAGGCTTGTTCGGTACAAAAGAAAAAAGAGAAGGAAAAAGGAAACCACATGGGGTTGTCAGTTAGAGAAATCTAAAGAGTTTTTATTTGATGGATTAATTCAAACAGGGTGAGGTATTCTGTTTCTTTCTTAATTTGTTCAATGTTCATTCAGTATATATGTTAAATTATTGAGATCTGAACCTGAATTAGGTTATTGGATGGGCTGTCACTGTTAACTGATCAAATTGTTTGGTGATTTTGTTGATAAAAAAAGGAAGAAATCTGAAATATCTTTTTATAAAGAAGCATCAACTGCTCCGATTATCCTAAAACATTAGCAGTAGTTATGAAAATCGTTATCAAGTGAATAAAATGCTCTTTTTTGAGATAGCACGTTCCTAGATGCCCAGAAATGTTAGCTATACTGTTGGTGAGCCAGTTTTTGAATTGGTAATTGAAAAATAGCCAGCGTTTATAAAGTCATTGAAAAATAGTCACTATTTTGCTGCAACCCGGAGAGTTTCAGCATAATATACTGGAGATTGGTACACCTGTATATGAACTTCCAGCATGTTATGCTGACACGGAAAGTTCCAGCATAATATACTAGAGATTAGAGCACCTGAGTTCATATACTTCCAGTATATTATGTTGGAACTCCAGCACTCGGAAAGTTCTAACATAATATATTGGAGATTGGAGCACATGTGTATGAACTTCCAGCATGTTATGCTTGAACTCCAGTATATTATGCTGGAAGTTCACATGTATAAAATTCGAACTCTAGTATATTATGCTGGAATATTTTCCGGATTTTGAACAATGTTTTCGTTCAATTTTATCTTTACATGAAAAATGGCTAAAATTCGATTACTTTTGAAACCGTATCTGTTTTTCATTTATCACTCGTAAAAATTTGGCTATTTTTGAATTTCACCCGGACCGTTGTGAAAGACGATCTCTTGTTTAATCAACTTTCCAGAGTTCTTAATTTGGGCATCAGATGGAGAAATTATCAAGTGGGAAAAATCTGTGAGAAATCAATGGTAATTTTGTTAGAAGGTTCTGGTTTTTTTTTTTGGTTTTCCAGCTAGTGTCCGGTATTCAAATTGGGGCGCGACTAAATCCGACTCCATATCCAGGGGCTCGAACTCGAAACATCTGGTTAAGGATGAAGGAGTACTTACCACTCCACCACAACCCTTGTCGGTGTTAGAAGGTTCTGGTTGCTTTATAAAGATGTTGATAATTTCCCATAAATTGAGCCATCATTAAAAGAAAAGAGTGGAAATTTAAGTTAATTTTATATGAAGGAAAATTTAAGTTAATTAATATCCATAAGACATTGTTCTAGTAAATAGATAATGCAAACAAAGAAGAAGGAAATGGATATCAATTATTTAGCTTCAAAGGGAGAAAATATACGTAAGAATTTTCTTCTCCAAATGACATTCTACCCAACTGTCCAAAAAATTTGCCAACATCTCAACTTTTTGACGTGCCTAAAACATTTTCTACTATCAATCAAAAGCGCTACAATTTTCTTCACTTCCCACTTTAATTTACAGAGATTAACAAAAAATTTAGAAAAAATTACATAATAATGCACTCCTTAAGTTGACCTTGCATTATTCTAGTCCACTTACAAGTTTGCAAATGTGTAGCCAAATATCAATAAGCTTAGATTTGAATTTTTTTCCAGTTCTTTTATTCTGTATATCTTCAAGCGTGAAACATTTCCATTCTCCTTTTTCCTCAAGTTTCTACGTACCTATCACAACTACGAAAATTCAAAAACAGACGCGAGAAATCTAAAATCTCATCTTCTTTAATGCTAATCTTGTTAGTTTTTCAACATGATTTTGTGAGAAATTTGGAGTGGGTATTTTTGAATTTATTATAATTAGTCTAAGTAGACTGTATACAAAGTTTGAAGTCATTTAGTCTAAATTGGGGGAATTACGCTCTTTGTCTAAATTGGGGGAATTATGCTCTTAGTCACTTGGCCGAACAGTCCATCGAAAAATGGCTCACGTTTGAAGCCTTTATCTGATATGGCCCAGATTGTACATAATCTGAAAATTATTTTTTACCAGTTAGCCCACCCTATTTAATTATTTTTTTCTTTTCTTCGTTCTTCTTCTTCCTCTTTTACGACTTTGCACCCCAAAATTTCTCTACCATTATATATTTTTCAATTCTCCTTCCAGATTCAAAGTTGATAATCACTATTAAGATGAGAATAAAAAATACCACTTAAGAGAATTATTATTTTTGGAGTCACCATTAAAGGTCATTCGAAGCTTCAATTTCAGAAATTGGATTTTTCGATTTTGTTAGTTGTTTGGATTGGGTGTTGGCCCAATTGATTGAGATTGTCAAGGGGAGTTCAAAACTCAAATTTGAAGTGATTTGGAGCAAAATTGAGCTTGATTTGAGTTGAATTTCAGAAGATGCCCAAAGAAGAAGAAGAACCCGTGAATCCTATAGAGCTTGATTTGAGTTGAATTTCAGAAGATGCCCAAAGAAGAAGAAGAACCCGTGAATCCTTCAAATTTGAGTTTTGAACTCCCCTTGACGATCCCAATCAATTGGGCCAACACCTAATCCAAACAACTAACAAAATCGAAAAATCCAATTTCTGAAATTGAAGCTTCGAATGACCTTTAATGGTGACTCCCAAAATAATAATTCTCTTAAGTGGTATTTTTTATTCTCATCTTAATAGTGATTATCAACTTTGAATCTGGAAGGAGAATTGAAAAATATATAATGGTAGAGAANTGCGAAAGGGGGAGTAGAGAAATTTTGGGGTGCAAAGTCGTAAAAGAGGAAGAAGAAGAACGAAGAAAAAAAAATAATAATTAAATAGGGTGGGCTAACTGGTAAAAAATAATTTTCAGATTATGTACAATCTAGGCCATATCAGATAAAGGCTTCAAACGTGAGCCATTTTTCGATGGACTGTTCAGCCAAGTGACAAAGAGCGTAATCCCCATCTAACTAATTTGCTAAAACACGTCATCCATGTTCCTTTAAAGTTTGACTTTTCAAAGGTGAACAAATATTAACGAAAATGGAGTAATTTGTCACATGCAGAGGCTTATTGAATTGTATACAGATTAAAGAAATAATCCTCTATTAAAGAAATAATCCTTTATTAAAGAAACTCGGTAATCCCACTTGTCTAGTTAATTTTATCAGAAAACCTTAGTAAATATATGAATAAAAATGAAGTGGTGAAAGCCTAACAATTGAGACTTCACAACGTATTTATTCTTATTCTTATTTTTTATATATACAAATAATTAATGAATTAGCTGTAGTGGTCTAAAATTAGGGATATGCTTATCTGGCGACCGGCGCTAATCATTGAACTCTCATAGAAATGGCTCAAGACTTACATACTTATATACTCCATTTGTATGTATACTCTAGAAGCATTTAACCGTAAATACTTATATGTATCGGGTGTTTATACATAATCAATAATTACCTTAAAGAATCAACAAATCAAAATAAAATTGTACATCATTTAATCAACGTGTTGTGTTACAAAGTGTATATATAAGACATATGTTTTATATTTATTGGCTTCATATAAATACTCGTAATTACACGCAATGGGTATTTACGGATTTAATTAATACACATTTACAGTATAATTTGTATACCGTTAGCATAATCTAACTTACTAAACATGTATTATTTTATTTTTCTAAATTATTAAATTATTTATATTTTTTTAAACAATTTTTCGTTATTGCTTGTAACTTAATGTGATAGTATAAAAACATTATGCATTATCAATGTATACAACTTGAACTAATGATAGTTACACTTAAACCTCTGTATAACAGCCTTGTTTGTTCCGAAAATTTTTAATTGCTATAGTAAAGTGTTGTTATAGAGAACATATATTATAACATTATATAATATTCGATTTCAAAAATAATTTATCCTTTGTAGTGAATGATTATTATATAAGGATGATGTTACGGAGAAAATCTAGTTGTACCTGATATATCATTGAACGAGGCCGTCACACTAATATGAGTTGGAAGCTGGAGCATTAGTTGCGTTGCAATGATTAATGAAACAGAACCAAATATCAGTAAACATGTGGGCATGTTACTGTGTGTTTGGAATAGTATACTTTTATATATCAATAATAATATGGCATTTGTCCACATGTCCCTATCACTAATCTTACTACTCAATTGTATTCTTCCATTCTGAACTAATAATCTTTTATATAAAAGCGGAGTAATGATTTAAAGTTTATAAGTTCGAGATTCTAATTTTTTAAGTTATTGAATTTTAAATTCATAATTCGTGTATATATTATGAAAATAGTACAGGCTAGTCAGTTTTCGCACCTGTAATAATAGTCAGTATTTGTTAGGTCATTAAAAAATAGCTATTGTTTTGCTAAAACACGGAAAGTTTCGGTATTATATGCGGGATTATGGAGCTCCTGCGTATAAACTTCTAGCATATTATGTTAGAACTCCAGCACACAGAAAGTTTCACCATAATATGTTGGATTATGGAGCTTCTGCGTATAAACTTCCCGCATATTAAGTTAGAACTCCAACACATTATGCTAGAAGCTCAAATGTAAAAAATTAAAACTCCATCGTATTATGCTGGGATATTTTCAGCTTTTTAAGGGTGTCATGTTCTGATTTTATCTTTACATAAAAAATAGCTTAATTTCAATTACTTTTAGAACTGTGACTATTTTTCAATTACCAATTATAAATCTAGTTTTTTTTTTTCATATATATTTAATGCATTTCTTTAAGACGAGTACAAAAAGATCGATCACTTACTGAATTCAGCCTAAAACTTTAGCTCACATGCTTTTGATGTATATGTACTCATTAACTCTTCTTCTTTACTATACTACGAAAGAGATGCCTTATGCTCTCACTGACCTTTATTATCAAAAGCACCTTATAACTTCACGTGGTCCTCGAAGCTTTCCGAC